GCAGGGTGCGGGGCGGTGGGGCTGGCCAGCCCTGGGGGGGCCAGGTGGGTGCTGGTGGGGAGGGCACGAGTGCTCACCCGGATACCGGAGCCAGGTTCCCCCGGATCGCCCTGCGAAGAGAGTGTCTGCATCAGTCCCACCGCCCCAACCGACTGACACCGCTGTTACGGTCACGTCCCCACGCCTGCCACGGGGCTGTTCCCCAGGGCTGTCTGGATTTGGGAGGGGGGCCAACCCTAAATGTCCCCTCCCTCCAGCCCAAAATGTCTCGAAATGATGGCTTTCCCAGATCTGGCAAGGTACCACTTTCCTTTGCCAGGTCAGAAGTCGTAATGCTGATGCTGATGCCATACCTTGGTCCCAGCTGGGCCCTGGGTCCCTGGTGGGCCAGCGCTGCCCTAAAGGGAACAAGGGGACATTATGTTGGGGTGGTGCTTGCTGGTGGCACAGGACAGGGACGGAGCAGTGGGGTCCCACCACTGACACTCCTCCCTGCTCCCTGGGAGGATGCCCGCCCCAGCTGACATTCCCCTTGCATGACAGTCCCCTGCATGTGGCATGGGGTGACTCCTTACCGGAGGTCCTGGGGGTCCCGGGTCTCCCTGGCTGCCCTGAAGGGAGAAAGAGATGGGGTCACTGTAGGGATGGGTTTTCCCCAGTGGGTGCATGGGGTGTCCCCTGGGAGAGGAGACCCAGACACTACCAGCAGCTCTGGTAAGCACCCACACCAAGTGAGGACAAGCCTGGCCAGCTCCTGGCGAGACGCCTGGGGCCAAGCACCCACCCAGCCAGCAGGGTGGCCCCCATGGCTTCACCCAGCGCCCTCGGCCAGGAGCCCCCAGCTGCGCGCTGAGGCGGGGGTGCAGAGAGACATGGTGGGGACACAGACACCTACCGGGCGTCCCAGCACGCCGGGGAAGCCTGGCAAGCCCTGCAAAGAACCACGTCAGAGTTGGCAGGCGAGCGTGAGCCTGCCACCCCCAAACAGCTCTGCCTGCCCCCCAGGGATGCTCCCCATTCCCGGTGTGTGGTACCCAGCCCAGGGTACTCATGGGGGGAGCTGGGAGGCTCCCTAAAGCCCTGTGGACCCTTCACAGGGGGGAAGGAGGTGAACAAGATGTGAATGCTCCTGCTGGTGCTGGTGGTGGCTGATGTGGGACCACAGGACTTTCCCTCATCCCAGCCCGCAACCCCTCACCGTGTCCCCACTCACCGGCTTCCCCTCGGGGCCGGCCAGCCCTCTCTCACCCGGGAGGCCCTGGAGCAAGAGACGGGGACGGGGTCAGTGCCAGGCAGGGAGATGGGGTCAGTGTCAGCCCAGGGGGACAGTGCGGTACTCACCGGGGCGCCATCCCTGCCCTTCTCACCGGGCTCCCCTCGCTCGCCCCACAGGCCACCTTCACCCTGCAGTGGGGACAGATGCACAGTCGTAGGACAGGCAGGAGGTCCCCTCCCAGGGTCTGCTGCCACCCAAAGTGTCCCCGCTCAGGGCTTTGCTCCATGGGGCTGCCCCGTCAGTAGCAGGAGACTTACGACCGCAGACCTTATCTCCTTTGGGTCCCCGCTCGCCCTCAGCTCCTGGCTCGCCCTGTATCAGGGAGGAGACAGATGCCATCAGCCCATGCTGTCCCCCTGGGGACGCCCACCCCACCACCGCCTTCAGTCCCAGCCCAGCTCATCATGTTGTCCCCAGCTCAGGATGCTTTGGCTGCCCCACTCCGTTCTGCCCAGCCACGCACCTTCGCTCCCTTGGGTCCAGCGGGGCCACGCTCGCCCGGGAAGCCCATCAAGCTGCCCTCCACCACGTCTGCCTGCGGGCAGGGCGCAGTCAGGGCTGGCACCCAGGAGACCCCAGGAAGGTCCCCCCAGGGGCACAGCCCTCCCCAAGCCCCTATTTCAGGGGACTGGACATGGCCATCCATCCCTGGAGGTGCAGGCTGGCAGCCCCCCTTGGGGATGGTCCCCAGCAGCAGTCATCACCTACCTTGGGCCCTGGGGGCCCTGGGGGGCCAGGCAAGCCATCCCTGCCCTGGGGGAGGGGGAAGAAAAAGAGGTCGAACATCAAAGGTGGCATGGGGGAGCAGAGGCATCCCGGTATGGCCACTCCTGGTCTCCACAGGGCACCCCTCTGCCCCCCGGAGAGCCCCCCGTGCCCCCAAGAGGTACACAGCACAGGGCGGGGGGGCAGAGGGGATCGTGTCCCCATCTCGGCTCACCTGCTCACCACGGTCACCCTTCTCACCCCGGTCGCCCTGGGAAAACAATGTGGTGGCTGTCATGGGGCTGTCCCCAAGTGCCTGGAGCAGGTCCCCCAGCCCTCGCCCCACGCCTCCGCACACACTCACCTTCTCGCCGGGCCGCCCAGCCTCCCCCAGCTCCCCGGCACGGCCCGGCACCCCGGGGATGCCCGGCTTGCCAGGCTCCCCCGGCTGCCCGGGTGGCCCCTCGGGACCCCGGTCGCCCACAGCACGGCCCGTGGGGCCCTGGGGGCCAGGGGCACCCGGGTCCCCCTTGTCACCTTTGGGTCCTCGCTCGCCAGGGAAGCCTAAGGAGCCCTGCAAAACATAACGCCGTGCTGCCAGAGCCAGCCCTGCGCCGGGGGCTGGCAGCCCTCCCCGAGCATCCCAGGGCTGATCAGGCTGCGCCGCCCCCCAACCCAGCCCAGATAGGGGGGGGAGCGGGGCAGCGTGTTGGGGCATGGCTTCAAGCCTGGCTGTGCTCACCTCTCGGCCCGGAGGTCCCCTCTCTCCCGGCTCCCCCCGGCTGCCCCTCTGGCCCCGCAGCCGCTCGGACACTGGCAGAAATGAGTCCGAGCTTCCGTCGTAGGCACCCGTGAGCTCCTTCAGGGATGAAATCTGGGAGGGAGGAAAGAGGCACCGGTCAGGGGGTCATAGCACCCAGCCATGGCAGCACCCCACGGCCCTGCCAACCCGTCCCAGGTTGCTTGGGTCTCCCACCACCTCCCGTGCTCCCCCCCTTCTGCTGCTGCATGGCAGGAACAGCCCCCAGCCCAACAGTCCAGGACTACGTACCTTGATACCAAGTGCTTCCAGGCTACGTTCAATGTTCTGCAATAAAAAGACATTAAAAACAAAGCGGGTGTTGGTCTGCTCCCACCATGGGGGCTGTGGAGTGTCCTCCATCCCCTGGAGCTGACGTCCGAGCCCAGCAGGTTGGGGGGACTCACCACTGCAGTCCCGGGGTCTCCACGTGCTCCAGGGTCGCCAGGTCGCCCCTAGGTTTGCAGAGAAAGAGGGAATGAAAAGACGTACAGGGGTGCAGCAGGTGAAGTGAGCAGTGCTGATGCTGCCCTAAGTAGGTTTCAGAGTTAACACTGCTGGTGCTGCCTGGGCAGGGGCTGTGGTTGCCACCACCCTGGTGTGCTTGCAGCCTGTCAGGCTCAGTGCTGGATACTCACCGGCTCTCCTCGCAGCCCAGGCTCCCCCGGATCCCCCTGAAACACAGCAAAAGCATTAAGGAGGGCAGAGTGAGGCTGCCCGGTGCCGAATCCAGTGCCAGGGTCCATCCCTGCCAGCCTGGGGGCAGGGAATCCCACCAAGGACTCATCCCCTCTGACACAGGGTCCCCCAGACCTTTGCCTTGGTGGGCTGGGGGGCAGGAGCACACCTACCTTTGGTCCAGCCACCCCACGGAGGCCCGGTGAGCCCTGGAAGATGCAGAGGGGACACAATGGCACCCATGGACAGGGGGCAGTGCCCTGAGGGAGCTGTGGGCAGGGGTCCTGCCCGCCCCATGGCAGCCCAGATTCCAGAGTCTGGTGCCGGGTGACACCATGGGCTCAAGAACTACGCACCTGGCCTGGGGGGCCGACCTGCCCCGGGACGCCAGGGAGACCGGGGGGGCCGAGGGGTCCTGGCACACCTCTGTCCCCCTGCTCGCCCTTGGCACCACTGTGGCCCTGCCGAGAGAGCAGTGTCACTCCCAGGACCTGGGTGCACCAGGTCTGTCCCCAGTGGGGACATGTACCCAGCACCCCCTGTCACCATGCTCCTCTGCAAGGAGGTACTCACATCTCTGCCAGGGGGTCCTGCGTCACCTTTGTCCCCCTAACCAGGAGGGGAAGGAGTTAGGTGCCCCATCCGCATGCCCCAAAATGATGCTCCTAGACCGAGGCTGGGAGGAGCAACCAGGTGTGCGGGGACCATGCAGGGACCATGCAGGCACTTCACAGGGACCACCCAGGGCTCATCTCCTTACCTTTCTCCCATCCTCTCCTGGAGTCCCGTCTTCTCCCTGGGGACACAGGCCACCAGTCAGTGCCTGACTCGACCACCCCGTCACAGGCACCACATGGGACAGGCACCGGAGGCACAGCTCAGAGTGTGGGGGCTCTTTCCCACTTTCCCCCCTCGCCTTTATGCTGTACTGGGATCACTGGCCCTCAGGACCCCCGGGCGAGCCCCAAAATCAAGCCCCACTCCCCCTACTCACGTTCTTGCCGCTGAGGCCAGGTTTGCCATCATCGCCAGGTTTGCCCTGCGAGGAAGCAGAAGCAGTGAGAGACACCCCTGCCATGGTTCTCCCCCTGGCACCAGCAGCCATGGGTCCCCAGGTCCCCCTGCAGCTCCAGGGTGCAGGGAAGGGCGAGCCGGGCATGGAACGAGCGCCGGCAGACAGACCCATCTGGGATCGACTGCAGAGGGCAGGATGTGTCCCCAGGGTGGCTGGTACTTACAGGGACACCGGGCGGTCCCAGGGGTCCCACGGGGCCAGGCGGTCCCTGCTCCCCACGAAGCCCAGGTAGCCCCTGTGGGGAAAACAGATGGGGGGAAGCACAGGGCAGCAGGGCACCTGTGTCCCGCAGCCAGCTCTAGAAGAAGGGACCATGCGGGTGGCACCCTGCTGGGGACAGGGGACAGTCCCGCTACGCTGCCCTGGACCAAGGAGCATGGGACAGGACATTGGTCCCTTACAAGGGTGATGGCCCCAGCAGGAGCACAACCAAAATCCACCTTCTCCAGAGGTACTTACATCCCGGCCAGGGTCCCCTTGCTTCCCCGGGTCCCCCTGCAGACAAGGAGGAGGTGACGGCAGGGACACCCCCAGCCTGCCACACGGGCCCCCCACGAGCATCCCCAGCCCGGAGCAGAGGGTGCCTGGGGAGGTGGCTCCTCCCGCCCCATTGCCCCTCTGCCTGCAGCCCCCGACCCACGGTGCCT